AGCACCCCAGCTGCTCTGCCCCAGGCGTCCCCAAGTCAGCTTCTGCTGAAACTGACCAGCGCTGACTACAGGAAGCCCCAGGCAGAGTTGCTCTGCCCCGGGCTTCCTGGAATCAGCTGCTGATCAGTTTCAGCAGCAGCTGACTTGGGGACGCCTGGGGTTCTTAAGTTGATTCTGTATGTAAGTCAGAACTGGCGGTCAGTTTCAGCAGTGTCTGAATCTGGACGCCAGTTCCGACTTACATACAAATTCAACTTAAGAACAAACCTACAGTCCCTATCTTGTATGTAACCCGGGGACTGCCTGTATATGGCTCACTATAAGGACTGCTCCCAGAAAAATTCATATAAAAATAGCCTGCCTATGGATTCTGACCTGGAAATTCCCCCTGCCTCCCTCCCCCCTTTTTTTGAGTAGAAACAAGGAAATAAAATGCAGCATATATTTGCTTAGTCATCCTTATTCACGAAGTGAAGGGCAGTCTTTTTGGACTCTGTTGCGATAAGATTTGACAAGATTTTAGAGTTTAAACCAGGGCTACTCAACATGTGGCCTGCGGCCTTTTTGTTTGCAGCCCATGGTGTGATTTGGGTTTATGTGGGGCTCAACACGCGGCCCATGGGTGGGATCCTTTGAATGTGGCCTCCACTGGGAACATGCTCCACAACAGCAAGAAATCTCCCAGGTGGGGTGAGCATTGAAAGACACAAGCAGACGGGCTGGCTGGAACAGACAGGTACCGGGTGTTGGCATTTCTAGCCCAAAGGGAGGAGGTGCCAGGAGCGCCGGGGCACTGTGGGAAGTGCTGGCTGCTTAGCCTTATGGGCATAGCCTGAGGTACTGACTGGCTCACACTAGCCACGTTTGGGTCCAGCGCCGCAGTCTAAGGTTTAATCTTTATATTCACGCCTGTCAGTGTGAAATAAGCTATTTGCATATATTTGCATGTATATACAACCACACTTAAGTTGTTCATGTGCTGTGAGTATCATTGTGGACCATGGAGCTTCCAGAGTTGAGTAGCTGTAGTCAACTGCACTTCCAAATATGGCTGCAACCCAAATGTTTCCATTGTATATAAACAAAGCTTCCTTAAATAAAAGTTGTTTGAGCTATCATATAGCTTACTTGTTTGTTTTTGTGTTTCATAGGTATCTGGATACAACATACCGTATAGACTATGTTCCTCCATATGATTATATGCCACAGGTAAGTATATAGCACAGAAAAATACTATTTTACAGAAACGTTTTCCATGCAGCTTCATATCTAGAGCATTTAATTAACCTTGGGAAAAAAAGAGGCTGCTTTTGAAATGTTGATTTGTTCATATTTCCATAGAGCCATTAGCAATATAACTATGGGAGTCAGTAATGAAATGAAACAGTTATAACAGATATAATTTATTTTGGAGTATATATACTACTGGGACACATTTCTTCATTTCCGTATAACTTGCTAGCAAACTGTTTATTTAAGATTTCCATTCACAGCTATTTTCTTCCCTTTTCTTGATTATCCACCACATGAGCTCAGTATTTTGTGGAAAATAAGGCTATGTCTAGACTATGTGGTTTTTCCGGGATACCTCTGGTTTTTCCAGAGGTATCCCGGAAAAACTCCGCCGTGCCCAGGGAACGCATCTGCTCTTCCACTTTTTTTTTTTTTTTTGCAGAAAAGCAGAAGCACTCTTTCAGAAGCCCTGTCTTCCTCCTCCCATGAGGAAGAAGGGCTCTTCTGAAAGAGGTTTTTTTTTCTGAAATTTGGCCCAGTGTAGATGGGCCAAATTTCGGAAAAGCCTCTTCCGAAAAAACTATCGGAAAAAGGTACGCAAATCGTGGAGCACAATTTGCGTACCTCTTTCTGATAAAGCCCCGTAGTGTAGACATAGCCTAAGATATTTATAACATTCTTTCCATCTTTGCTTGAACTTTAATGATGCTTCACATTAATAAAAGCTTACACATAAATGAATTGTTTATCTTCTTTTTAACCACCACATGCGTGAGTATCAGTGTTCTCTTGATATACAAAGTGAAAGAATTGTGCTATTATGTGGTTTGTAGCAAATACAAAATTGGAATTAAATTATAATTAAAATTAAATAAAATGTAAACTGAAAAGAATAAAAAGTTTTGGAAGGCAAACCAAAGGTGTTAGAACTGTAGCTTTTTTGAGTGTTTCCTCTTTCCCCCCAAGTGCTCCTGCCTACAGGTGGCCACACCAAGCAGCTTCTTCCCCTTCCTCCCACTGCTTCCCACCTTCTGCGATCAGCTGCATTCAGGCGGCACTGAGGGGGATGCTGCAGAGGGAAAGTATGATGTGCTCAAGTGAGGGGACAGAATGGGGCAGGAAGAGGTGGGGTTAAGCAGTTTTGGGAAGGTGTGGGGATGTAAGAGGCGGGATGAGCTTTAGAGGAAGAATAGACTAGAGGAGCAGTCTGGACTAGAGTGGGAGATGAGCACTCCCAGGGAAATGAGGAAGCTGGTGCCGATGCATAAAGGTGTTAAATTGTATGAAATATATATATATTGACTGCTTTACATGTACTGCATGTCTTGAGAAAGTTATTAAACTGCAAACCAGAACCTTCAGTCCTGTGGGTGGAATTCTGGGAAAAGGGAGTATTCTGAGTAGGGATGCTAAAATGTGTTTAATTAAGTAACTGCATAACTGCTGAAAATTTCAGCAATTACAGTTACACGCGGGGCAGCAGTCAGCTTCCTGGGAGCTGCTGTGTGCGTGGATCTGGGTCCCACCTTCTCCTCCCCCTGCAATGCTGCCTCTGATACTCAGGAGCCTGTGTGTAACCATGAAGGTTAACCGAAGAGTCCAGGCTCTTGACTGTGTACACAATTACACTTTCAGGGTATGTCTACTCTAGAGAAGGGGGCACCAGGGGAGTTGCCGCTGAAGGCGCGCGGCCGCGCACAAACACCCCTCTGCCGCCCACCTCCCTTGCGGAGCCTTGCAGCGGCACTCGCCTTCCTGCTGGCCGGGGAATGGCGCGGTTGTTTTCCTGATCTGGTGGGGGGCGGCTGCCCCGTTGTGTCCCTGCTGGGGCAGCCTCGCCCCACCTCCAGCTGCGATTGGGGCTTCTGTTTGTTTCTGTTCATACAGTTTGCTGCAGTTTTCCATCCCGGAGGACCTGCGTGAAGGTGGTCCGACCAGAGATACGGGGATCGATTTTTAAGAGTAAGAGGTTTTGTTTTTAAAGCAGGGGTGAGGAACCTAATACCCCAGCTCACGTGAGTGTGGCCCTCGAGACTCAAGGTTCCCACACTAACGCTCTAGCTCCCCTCCAGATTGGTGATAGAAATGTAGCCGTGTTAGCCTGGGGTAGTTGAAGCAAAATGCAGGACAATGTAGCACTTTAAAGACTAACAAGATGGTTTATTAGATGATGAGCTTTCGTGGGCCAGACCCACTTCCTCAGATCAAATAGTGGAAGAAAGTAGTCACAACCATATATACCAAAGGATACAATTTAAAAAAAATGAACAAATATGAAAAGGACAAATCACATTGCAGAACAGAAGGGGGATGCGGGGGGGTGGGAAGGGGGAGGAAGGAAGGTAAGTGTCTGTGAATTGCTGATATTAAAGGTAGGGAGAGTGGGATGTTTGTGAGTTAATGGTATTACAGGTGATAATTGGGGAAACTGTCTTGGTAATGGGTGAGAAAGTTCAAAGACTTGTTAAGTCCTTGTTGGTAAGTGTCGAATTTTAACATGAATGACAGTTCAGAGGATTCCCTTTCAAGTGCAGATGTAAAAGGTCTTTGTAGCAGAATGCAGGTGGCTAAGTCATTTAGAGAGTGTCCTTTCTGGTTAAAGTGGCAAGAAACTGTTTTCTCTTTGTGATCTTGTCTGATATCTGTTTTGTGGGCATTAATCCTTTGGCGAAGTGTCTGAGATGTTTGTCCAATGTACATAGCAGACGGACACTTTCGGCACATGATAGCGTAGATTATATTTCTGGATGCGCAGGGATATGTGTTCTTGATCTTATAACTCACTTGGTTAGGTCCAATAATGGTATCAGCAGAATGAATATGTGGACAAAGCTGGCAACGGGGTTTGACCTATTTTGGATTGACCGGGGTATCTCAGGGCTCATTCGTTGCTGATCATGGACCAGAGCAGAGGGCTGAAAAGCCCCATTTTCTAGAAAGATAAAGCCTTTGAGTCAGTGCCCAGGAAATAGGCCAGATGGTCTAGAAAGGAATCAGTATTGCTGAAGCAGCAGGAGCTTGAAATACCCTAGGGATCCACAGCAGAAGAGTCTTGGATTCCTGCTTCAGCAGTCCTGGTGGGTAGTTGGAAGAGGGCACTTGCTAGGACCTTTGACAAGTATTTACACTCTTTATAAAAACTTAATTAAAGGGAGGAGAATAGTTTTCCCAATATATATATATAATTAATGCATGTGTTTTGTATCATTTGCTATGTTTTCTTCATTTATAAAGAAACACTTTTAAGCAAACATTTGATACATAGAGGGGCCATGAAAACCCCATGTTTAGGTGCTTAGTAAAAACATTTTAAAAAAAGATACAGGCTGGAAATATCAATCAAATAAGAAATACGTTGTATGTTAGTTTATTTTAACAGCACACAAAGGAATTAAATTCTTCTTCAGTAATGTGCAGATAAACAATTAGAAATTAATTCTTCACAGAGCAAAACCTTCATTATTTCATGACTGTTTTGTAATTTAATATATCATGGAAGAAACTCAAATAAAATGTCTCTTTTATGACTTGTAGTTTTATACTTATTGTTTTATACCTTCTTTCAAGCCCTTAGGCAATAAGTGCGTAAGGTTACCATCTAACCTTCTAGTTCAAATAGAGCTCAATACTCAGATTCTGTAATCAGACATAACATTTTTTATCTCTTTATTGTTTTGTTCAGTAGCTCTGGTCATCTAATTTTCAGCATCCTTGGCAAAGTTTGGCTTATTAGTTTAGGATTGCGTGCTCAATATCCCTGTCAAATATAACCCTGACCTGTTCCTACAGAAGTAATCTTCCCTTTAGGATGTGCAGTAATTTTATTACATTACATTACATTTTACTAAATTAAGCTAGATTGCAAATAAATATCCCAAATAGTGCTCCTTTACTAAGGCAAATTCATAGAAGGAATTAATAGTGTTGTTTTTTTCCTTGAACGCTGTCTCTAACAATTGCCTTGATAGATTATTCAACAAATCCAAGAAATGAAAATATGGGTAGTGATATTACTCTTTTGAATGGCTGTTATTTATTATTATAAAAATGACAATTACAAATATAATTACCATACTCTGCTTTTTAATACACTTAAATTTGAAATGCAGGGGTCCTTTGATGTTTAAAAGTCTCAGCCGGGTAGGTAGCCCAGTTATTGCCAATCAATTTTGATGATACCTGGTAGAAGTGTCAGCTTGTCTTACAGAAACAACAATGAGTAGGCTTGCAGCTCCTACACTACCAGGTTATTTCGAAATGAGTTATTTCCATGAGAGTGAGGTTTTGTTCATGAAAGCTCATGATACTATATATATATATTTTGTTACTCTCTAAGGTGCTGTAGGGGCCACTTGTTGTTTTTAAAGTTTTTTTCAGGGTCTCTTGAGTCCTGGTTCCTGGTTCCTTGGCTACGCATGCACCCAAGACTAAAGATTCTTCACTAGCAGTGTCCATTATTTTTTCCTATGTCTTCATGTTCTCCAAACGGAGAGCGGAAGGAGTGACATGGACCAATTGCGTTTCCAGTTTCTTTCTTCTGCTCATGGTCTGAGGTGGAACTTCCATCCATAGCTTTCCTAGTGATCCTGCCTTCTGTTCAGGGTTTTTGTAAATAGCTTTATTTTACTGTAGCTAACTGGAGTACCATTGGGGGTAGCGGTATCCCCCAGACCACCTCCACTTTTAGAGCATCTACTATACCTCAGATCCCAGTTTTACAACCTGCTTGCCCTGCCCCCAGGGCTTCTCAGTTAGTGATAACCAGGTCTCCTGTATGTGCTCCCTTGGGGAGTATGTCATTCCATCCAAGTGTAATCTTGAGAATTTTGTGTTAAAAGGCATCTGATGGAACTAAGGCCACATCTCAACCCTGAACCTTCTGACTCCCTATACATTGATGGAATTGGCATTTTGCAGGCCTGAAATGTTATAAAGAGTGCAGATTTAAAGACTCTACCAGGTGTGGGTGGGAAGAA